GGTCACACACACACACACACGTGTATATATATATATATATATATATATATATGTATGTATACATACTGATTAGAAATATTATTTACTTGTATTATTTTATGAAATTATTAAGTAAAAATAAGAATATATTATTTGACAATTACCAATATTAACCCCATTGGAATTAATAGAATTGAATTGCATTCCTTTAAATGTATAACTCATGATTGCTCAAAAACAATCCAAATTTATGAAACCTACCTATTTATTTTTAACAAAACTTCATCAGAACATCTTTTTAGAGTAATATTGATTCTGAAAAGTTTTCAAACAAAATAAACTCATTTTACTCGCATGAATTTTCCCTTTCAGATGAAAAAGCCATTCATTTTTCACACTGCAATTGTTAGGCACACATATTCATTCATTCACAGAAAATTACATAGAAATGGCAGGTGACATTCAATGAAATGTGAAATTTTGAAGTAGAAAAGCTATAATTTTTTTTTAAATTTTTTTAAATAATCTTGATTTACAACTTGGAAATAATCATGTTTTCCAGTGTAGTGTTTATTCACATGACTGTTGTTATTGTGTTGACTACACAGCTGTGTCCGTCTGGGAAGCGCGTCTGGTTTTTGGTTTGTGTAATAATAGTGTAAAGACTCTGGGGAAATGAAATGAAATGAATAGACTTCAGCAGTGTTTGTGCCTCCCAGAGAAACTGTTTGATGCGTTTCATACTGGACGAGATCAGTGAAACCACACTTGAAATCTTCAATTGACACTCTTTTAAATTGATAATATAATCGGGAACTTTACAATAAGGTCTCTGTAGCAAGGTTTTCTAGGAGTTAATAACGGAGCGTGAGGACGGCCCACCGGATTGCCAAACACTCCTTTTCAATGGTGCTGTATCTGGCCTCTCTCTTTGAGAGCTTCCGACTCAGATACAGCACCGGTTGCTCCTCTCCCCCGACCACCTGTGACAGGACTGCACCCAGCCCCCTGTCCGACGCGTCTGTCTGCAACAAAAAAGGGAGATCAAAGTTCGGAGAGTGTAAGAGCGGCCCGCCGCACAGGGCAGCCTTTACCTTGGTTAGGGCCTGTTGGCACAGCTCCGTCCACTGGACCGGATCTGGTGCTTCCCTTTTAGTGAGATCAGTCAGCGGGCTGGTGAGCTCCGAATAATTAGGAATAAACCTGCGATAATATCCCGCCAGCCCCAGGAACTGTCTCACCTCCTTTTTGGTCTTGGGTCTTGGGCAGGCCGCAATCGCCGCCGTCTTGTCAATTTGGGGACACACCTGCCCATGACCCAAGTGGAAGTCCAGATACCGTACCTCCACTCGCCCAATTGCACACTTCCGCGGGTTCGCCGTGAGTTTTCTTGTGCTCCGGTAACCGATAGGTGCGGCTGCGCGCCACCTGCCCGGGGATCGTTTCGATGTGGTGCTGTATGAGGTTCGTGCGACCGGACAGGGGTGAAAACACATCAGCAAAATCTGCTTGCAACTTGGCTAGCTCGGTGAGCTGCAGCGGCGAGAGGTGATCTCCCCCCGGGACCAGAGCGAGCGGATTGGTTTTGACAGCCGCTTCCGGTCCGAGATCTTCCTCTGCCGGCGTGATAGACACTGGTGCGAATCGATTTAATGCCCAGGAGTTCGTATAGTTCGCGTAACGTACGTGACATAAACGCCGTGCCCTGATCCGTGAGGATCTCTTTGGGGATCCCCACTCGGGAGATGACTCCAAACAGTGCGTCCGCCACACTCTTTGCAGAGATGGTGCGCAGCGGCACTGCCTCCGGGTATCGTGTTGCATAGTCCACCAGAACTAATGCAAAACGATGCCCGCGTGCTGAACATTCTAATGGCCCGATGAGGTCCATACCAATTCTCTCAAAGGGGACCTCTATCAGTGGTAATGGACGCAATGGCGCTTTAGAACTGGCCGGAGGAATTACCAGCTGACATTCACGACACCCCGCACACCCCCGGCGGATTTTCTTGTGAATGCCCGGCCAAAAGAATCGGTCCATGAGTCGTTCACATGTCTTTGCCTCCCCCAAGTGGCCTGCCATGGGACTACTATGAGCCGCCTGGAAAAGCATTTCCCGACAGCTTTTTGGGACTAATAACTGGGTTGTATTCTTTTTTGTTTGGATATCTTGGGTCACCCGATACAACCTATTTTATATAAGGGAAAAATAGGGATACGAGAGAGGTTGGTCAGGCTGGAGAAGCTGCCCGTCGATGGTGCGGACCCGGTCATACGCATTTCTCAGCGTCTCATCACGAGACTGCTCCAGCGGAAAGTCATCCAGCTCGGGGGAAATAGGCTCCGCCCTTGCTCTCGTTTCCTCCGAGACAGCCTGTGGCGGTCCCGAAACAGCATCTCCCGTCTGAGCCACCGCTTCCCCGTTTCCCCGCCCCATTTCCCAAGAGGCAGGCCATTGGGTGCGCGCCCAGCCGCACGCCTCCGCTGTCCTCTCGAAGAGGTCCACGAAAGCCTCCGGGTCATCCTGTGGACCCATCTTCATCAGCGGGACGTGGGCGATGGAGGGGGCTGCTGCTGGGGAGGCCTCCTGGCCAAGCAAGCTCCGGAGGACCCGCCGGTCCTCATCCTGCGCCTGGACCAACAGCCGGAACCGATCCTCCTGCTCCAGCTTGAGGTCCATCAGCGCCTGGTGTTGGGTTTGGTGAAGCCCGGCGAGTGACTTCACGAGCTCCGCAAGTGGCGTGGGCTGCGCTGGCTGCATGGCGGCGTGCCGGCTTCCTCGTCCCGGGTTTCGGCACCAGTGTAGCAAGGTTTTCCGTTCGGGAAGAAGGACGAGGAAGTCAGGGGTGGCGAGTAGACCTTTTATTGGTCGTCACAAACAACATATAACAACGTGTGCGCTTCTTGGGTTTCCCAGTCAGTTGTCGCACACTCTGCTGTCTCTCTTCCCACTCCCAGGTCGGCGGCCGCTTATCTCTCGTCTCCCCGCCAATCACTGGAATTGCAAACAGGTGTTCATCATTATTCACTTGACCTCCTTCTCACCGCTCGTCTCCAAACTCGCTCTCCCGCTGCAGCCTTTCGCCTTCCCCCCCTCACCAGTCTCATTGTTAACATTAGTTAACTACATTAATTACTATGAACTAACATTAAGTAATATATACACTTCTGTTCAAAAATTTGGGGTCAAAATTTAAGATTTTTTAATGATTTTGAAAGTCTCTTCTGCTCATCAAGGCTGCATTTATTTGATCAAAATGTCAAAGCTGTTTTCTATATGAATATGTTGTAAAATATAATTGATTTCTGTGATGTGCAGCTGAATTTTCAGCATCATTACTCCAGTCTTCAGTGTCACATGATTTTCAGAAATCATTCTAATATGCTGATTTGCTGCTCAAGAAACATTTCTGGTTATTATCAATGTTGAAAACAATTGTTCTCCCGAATATTTTTGTGGAAACTGTGATGCATTTTTTCAGAATTCTTTGATAAATACATATCGACAAATTGATAAGTTCTAAACAACAGCATTTATTTGAAATAGAAATCTTTTGTAACATTCTAAACAGAGGATTCCCTGTGAATGATGGGTTATGTGTGTATGTGAATACGCTCTGGCTCTGCTTTATCTTATCTAAATGATTGAACAGTCTGGCTTTGAGCTCTACTATTAATGGAGCAACTTCTGTGTGACTGTGAAGAGGTTTTGCAATGATTCAGTTAATATAACCGAGACGGTGAATATTTAGACTGCTTTAATTATTAACAGGTTCCTGGATAAAACATTCATACACCTTGTACATTTCTGGGAAGATTTTTTATTTACAGTTGTCATTTTCACAATCATTTTTGTTCTAGTGTCAGTTTAGTTTTTATTTAAAAAAATTGTTGAAGGTTGCTAAACGGTAAGCACATTATGCATTTTGGATTTATTTTAATTAATTTGTTCGTTTTTTTTAACATTTTAATCAGTTTTAGTCATTGTTTTCATAGGTAATCTTTGCTAAGATTTCCCAAAGTTTCAACAGATGTGTGCAAAAATGATTAAAGTTTCCTGAAAAGAAATACTTTATAGTAAATTTCTTTCCCCATATTATGTTCCATAAGAACAACAAATGAGTGATGTTTCTTCCTCGTCTCTTTTCTCCTGTTCCTCTCTTGCAGTCCACACAGGGACGCTGTTTGCCAATATATTTGGCTGTTTGTCGTGGTTCTGTGTAGATGCGTCGAGGGGAGTGGATTTTGGTCTGGCCATGCTCACACACACACACACACACACACACACACACACACACACACACACTCTCACACAAACACACACACCAGAATCATAAATTAACCCGGACAAAAGGTCAAAAACACTGCTGGAGGTGATAAAAATGCCCTAGATATTTAAAAAGTTGCCCTTATTAAGCATTTCAGTCTATTTTTTTTTTTTACATTCTAACATTTATATATTTTAAATGTATGTTTTTCTTAATCGGTGAAGATTTGTGATTTTTTTTATTTTTTTATTTTTTTATGAAGTGAGACCAGATTTAGTTTTTTTTATCAAAGATAAGCTCTTAAAACCTTTTTACAATGTTGTTTATTTATAGTTTAGTTATTATATATAGTTATTTTCCACTTGTTTCTCGACACCAATATAGTTGTGGTAGCTGACATTTAGTTAAAATATAAAAAAATAATATATTTTTTTGATTTTCTATTCTTGTTCTGTTTAATGATGCATTTAAGTGCTTCTAACACCAAATTTGTAGATTGTTGAATATGTAACTAAAATTAAATGCACATTTTATTGAAAAGAAACAAGTAAAATCACTAAAAGTGGGTAAAAAGCACTCCCAGCAGCTTCAAAACTTGAAACAATAAAAATGTTAAAATCTACTACAGTGTAGAGCTGTTTAATCAAACATAGTGACTGGATAATTGTTAAAAATGGTTTGTTTGTGTTTATTATATTAATGTATTTTGTGGCTTATTTACAGCTACATTTGAATCAATTTTTTAGGTTGGTGATAATTTTTCACTATGATGAATTTTGTCATTTAATTTGCTCGGATGGATGACATGCTGATTTTTATGAGGGTAAAAAAACAAAAACATTCCCATAAATGGCAAAAATGCAAATAAATATTTAAATCAAATCTAGGTGGCAATTAATGACACTTGATAAAAATTTCTGACACTTTCACTTTCCTTCCATTTCACAGGATTTTTCCTTCCTGTATCACATTTACATTGTAACATTGTGAAGGTTGTGAAGACTGATCCATTGTTTATGTTTGTAGTGGCTGGATCTCAGCGCTGACCGGGCTGAACACAAGTATTCCCGTCGGCATCATCATGATCCTGATTGCTGCCCTCTTCACTGCGTCGGCTGTCATCTCTCTCATCATGTTTAAAAAGGTGCTTCACCTTAAACAATTCATAACGTATAAATATAATATGTGCTTCACCTCAAATGCACTTACATAGACTTCAGAGCTTAACCAAAACACTGTTGTTATCTAAAACTAAAACTTAAAAGTATTTTTTTTTTCATTGCAATAAAGCTGAAATAAAATATAAATATTAAATGAAAAACTTCAAACTGAAAAAAAAAGAAAACGAAAATTAGAAATGGTGACTTGGCAACAAACTGAAATGAAATAGGTTTAAGTTCTAAAATGACTCAAACTAAAACTGAAATTTAAAAAAAGTTAAATAGAAATATAAAAAAGCCCTAAAACTGACAAAAGCACATAACAAAATTAATAAAACTCCCACTATAATTTAAATGAAAACTGAAAAAAAAAAAAAATAATAATATAAAAGCAAATTTAACTAAATTAAATAAAATAAGTTTAAGTGCTAAAATAACTTCAACTGAAAAAAAAAAGTTAAATATATAAAACATAAAAATGACCAAAGCACATAACAAATACAAACACATTGAAAATTGATTTTACAGTTTACTACTTTATTTCTACTGTTATTTCATTTTAACCAGGTTGGTTGTTATAAGTGCCCATATATAGAACGAGGCATTTCCAGTAAAACGTGTTTATTTGTATGTCCATGTGAATTAGAATTAGAAATTAGCAATGTTTAGAAATGTTTCGTTGGCAACTAATTGAAATAAAACAAGTTGAAGTACTAAAAAGAATACAATTATAAGTGAAATAAAAAATAAAGCTAAATAAACTGAAAATATAAAAATAAAATCTCATTTAAAATAAATTCTATAATAGTACATTAATGATACTAAAACAACACTGAACCATAAACACAATGAAAATCTGTCCGTTTGAAGGAGTTTTAACTGGTTTTACAGTTTAGTCCTTTTTTTCTCATTTTACTTCATTTAACCAGGTTAGGTGTTAGTAGAATCAAGCTTGCATGTGTTTATTTGCAGGTTCATGCGCTGTACCGAACCACCGGCGCCAGTTTCGAGAAGGCGCAGCAGGAGTTCGCCACAGGCGTCATGGCCAACAAAACGGTGCAAACCGCCACTGCTAACGCCGCCTCCTCTGCTGCCCGGGGAGCCTTCAAAGAGCAGATCTGATTGGTCCAGAGAACTCCGACTCCGCCCATGCTACTTTGACCCCGCCCTCCGCATTCCGCCTAACTGTCTTTACAGCCAATCATCAGCTCTGACTGGCTGTTCAAGACCACACCCACTCTCTTTAACTTAATGCACTCCTGTGACTGAGACCCCGCCCACAGCCCCTCCCCTCCTGTCAATCAGCAGGTGTGCTCACCTGTTCTTTAGTTGGAGTGAGTGTGTGTGTGTGTGTGTGTGTGTGTGTGTGTGGAACGCCTGTCTGTGAGTAAACAGCCTAAAGATTCACTTTATATGTTCACATCACTGTTGGGTGTCAGTTTGTCCCTGTTAAACAACAGGAAGTGATGTCATCCAGTGTCCTTTTATGGGATCCAAGGAAAAAAGAATGGTTATGCCCTCACAGGTCTGTCTTACCGATCATCTCCGCTTAAACACTCGTAAAATCACATGTCCAGGTCACAATTAACCTCAAAATTGAAAAAAAAACAACATTTACCATATTTTCTCTCATTTTTTTGGACAGTTGAGCACATTTAAAAACTGATTAAAATCAGTTTTGCGTTACATTCAGCTTAATTGTCACGAAAACGTCATAATGCAAATGCCATGTACGTGAAATAATTTTTTGCATTACAAAATGTTTGCTTTTCTGTAGATTTTGGGGTATAACATGACATTTTGCATGCAAAAATACACTTTTCTTTGGATTTTGGGGCATAATATGACCTTTTGTGTGACAAAATGTGGCTTTTCATTGGATTTTGGGGTATACCATGACATTTTGCATAAATATTTGGCTCATCTTTGGCTACAACCTTTTGCAAAAACAAAATTTGGCTTTTCTTTCAATTTTAGGGTATAATACAACCTTTTGTGTAACAAAATTTGCCAATTTATTGGATTTCGAACTAAAACGTGACATTTTGCATTAAAAATGGTCACTTTTCTTTGGATTTTGGGATATAACATGATATTTTGCATAAAAAACGATAGACTTTTCTTTGGATTTTGTGGTGTAATATGACCTTTTCAAGGTGCGATTCGCTCCCAACTATCATTATAAACGCTTCATCCTGCAAATGAGCCATCAGTATACAAAGACGTCCATCAGATGTGACCGTAAACGCTCCACCCGCAACTCAGAGGGTCTCTTTACCTGTAAATATATAAATATGTATATATTAAACCTGTATGATGACATAAAGTATTGACTGATTTTAAACACATGAATGTTTTTGGGGCTTTCTGGTTTCTTTTAGTTCTTTCTAATAGAGTTGTTTTGGAATGGAAACTAATTCTTAAAAGCGTGAACCACTCAGGATACGTTCCTACACATGCATGGAAAGCTTGCCGAGCTCTCTATAGGATAAACTGGAAAACACTTTTAAATCACAATGAAAATCTGTGCATCGCCCGCGAACATCGCTAACGACACGTGGCATTTGTCCTGCAGATGTGTGTAAGACTGTGCCGTGTTGGGCCGTCTTGATGTTGGATCCTGAATTGCATTGTCCGTCGTTATTTGTCGGTTTGTGATTTGAAGCATAGAGCTTTTTAAATGATGTTTGTTTTCCTCTTTTTATCGACTGGAGCAGAGAACCTTGTAGCCTTGGTTACTGTCGCCAAGAGACAGCCAAGTTTTGCAATTATGGGATATGCATCAAGATGCAAATTGATCTTAACCTTTCAGCAACACTCTGTGTGTGTGTGTGTGTGTGTGTGTGTGTGAGAGTGTGTGTGAGAGAACAAACTGTGTTCATCACCTATTTTCAGTATTGAGTTTGTTTGAAGTCTTTTTAATTTATAACTTTAAAGAAGTAGATCACCAAAATGGTCATTTTTTGGGTGAAATATTTCAATATGT